CTTTATAGAACTAACTCAAGAAAGATTTCATTTAAAGTTTTATGAACCCCCTGATCTGGATTGAGATGAATAACAACATTTTTGGATAGTTAACTTAATTGGTCTGTCTAACATGATTTTATGTTCAATCACTTGTCATCAAATACAGTTGTCTTAGTTTAATTTTAAACAAAGCAGATACTCCGACTAAGATTGTATAAGGTCTTGTTTTAACACTAACATCAAATATTTTCTTCATTAAATTTCAACTTCAGGCTTTTGCTCCCATAAAATATTGGCCATCAATTGGTTAAAATTGATTTTAATTTGAAAAAAAGCTAACTACGATACTTACAAGTCTATGTATTTGTAACAGACTGCACGTGTTTGGACGAGACAGTACCATCAGGCCGGGTTGGTTGACTTTAGGACCAGAGTTGACCAATAGCAACTTCAACGCTGATCTGTACGCGAGCTACTTCAACCCCTCGTCTATTACCACTGGGTGTACCGAGCGCATTGAAGCACTAAGGCCTAAATCTCCCCCTGCTAAGGGCAAAGCCCCAGGCAACCGGGGGCGAGGAGGGTTCTCTAGAGGTAGAGGTCGAGGTGGATCTAGGTAGTTGGATTGATTTTTAGTGAGTAAAATTCTTTATATACGTTCGGTGTTAAATTATTTACCTTGAGTAATTCTGATATCCATGTTCATCAGTTCATGATGGACGTTGGTGACACTAGGCGCTAGTACCGTTATTTTGTTTCCATTATTTAGGGTTAATGTACTTGTTGGTTATACAACCAGGAGACAAGCTATCGTTTGTAATTACATGTTTGTATTTGGTTAAATAACGAATAACCGTATTGTAAACAAAACACAAACCTATTGGGGCCAGATGGGACTTAAACTAAACTGCCTTCAGCTGATCCATAATGATTAAATTTCTACTGAGGGATTATTTCTATCATTGTTACAACTTTTTTGTCCCAAACCCACTCCAATTAAAGATAGTGCAATACAGGTAAAGAAGTTGGGGATGTTTTGTGAGTAAATTTGTTTATAAGACCTGCTGTTTGCAGTGTGAGAAACGTTATCAGGCTTAAAATTCCGTTAAAATAAAATTTACCTCCGTTGATTCCATGGGTAAATTAAATTAAGCTTAATACTCCATTTTGACTTAAAATTATGGGCGCATCCGATAACAAGTTCTAGTTAGTGTGAGAAAGCTTAGATAAAACAACTGGATTGTTACTGGTGTGAATTAAAGTCAACTCCTTTTTCAATAGATTATTCTTAACAAGATACTGATCAAAAGAAACAGCCCTTTAACACGTTTGCTGCTACGGACATTCCGGAACGTTAGCCGGGCCACAGCGCCAGGAGCTAGGAACATTCCGGAACGACACCGGTCATTGTTGTTTAACGTTTCCATGGATCAGCCAGTTCGTCGCGAGCGCCCTATATTTCTTTGCAGCTCGTGGCGACATACTTTTCTGACAATAAAAAATATAGTTCCCCAAAATCACCACCAGGGTCCTATAGAACAGGGCTTTGTCCCTGCTCTTTCCTGCTAGATAGCGACACTACTTTACCAACTGCAACCTGGTTAGTGCTGCTATCTATCAGAATCACTTAGTTAGTACTATGTCCAAAGCTAGTTTTATTGCAGAACATTGCCATCCAGTATAACTACTGATGTTTTTACTGTAATTCAGTGTATTGGTGGCAATGTTACGCAGCGGCGAGCGTTAAGTTCAGCTCCTGACGCCGTCCCGGCATCTAGCGGTCAGCAGCGAACGTGTTAAAAGTTGATGGAGGAACAGTAAAACCTTACCAACACGACAATTTGTGAACCCAGAGGTTGCCAAGTGCTGCATACAATTATGAAAGCCTAAAAATTATTTTATATTGACTTCAACCAAAGCAAAAACTATTAAAATGAGTTTAAAAAAATAAACATTTAAATGTATTTCATTCTAATTTTACATGTTTGTGCATTCTAAAACAGCTGAGAATTAGATTTTTGACAACTAACATTAGTTTGTATTTACATTTGGGCATTGTGTTGTTTGAATTTTAAAATAACCAATGCATCCATTAGGATTATAGCCAAAAATAAATACATTTTTAGTAAAAACAAAAAGGTTAATATAAACCAGGGAATAATTAAAAACAAAATATAAAGCTAGAGCGTCCATGTTTGTACATGGTTGTTATATTTTACAATACCATATCACAAACGTAAAACAACAAGTTTTACCTATATCTAATACATTTAAAAAGAAGTAACAGAATTTGTATAAAGTACACATATAATAAACTGTCCATGAAAGTGTATAATAAATAAAATTTAAAATGTCACTTAAAATTACTTTAAGGAAGAATGGAAACGTAAATTTGAACTGAATCCCGCAACATCACAGATCTTCTTGGCAGTCTTTACTACAGGTAAGTCGATTCGCCTGAAAAAATGACAATCCATAAATATGGCAGGTGATGGTAGTACAGTTTGGCATCAGATAAGTAATTATCTCATATGACATTTCAACGAAACTAATCATGCCGAATAAATCCTTGATACAAATTTGACCTTCTTGGTAGATTTTTATAGAAAAAAAATTATTTGGAAAACATGAAAATCTATGGCCAATCATGACAATTAATGGCTGTTATGCTTTTATTTTAGTAAACAGTATATTTAATTTTCCAGATATAATTTGCTTAACTACAAATAATAATTTATTCCTTCCTATTAATGTTGTAATTTGCCTCTGGATCATTAAATTTGAGCAAAATGGCTTTAAGTTACCTGGCTTCATTAAGTGATCCTTGTTTTTAGTAGTACACTACTAGTTTTGGACTTCTTTAAGAGTCCATCATCAGGTGACAAAAACGTCTGGTCTTCTATCCAATTTGGCTAGATCCGTCGACATTCAGAACACACATGACACAAACACTCGACAAAAATACAAAAACTAATAAATACTTTAAAAACCGACCAGTACTATTATAGGTAACACATGCGGCGGCGCCGGAAGATGAGTCATATAGTAAAATATATAGTAATGTACTGTAGGGTACAACTTGAAACAAAGATCACTTGACGAAGCCAGGAAACTTAAACCATGTTCTTTATATTTTATTTACTTTAAAACCATGATTTAAAACATACCGGTACTTATTTTTACAATAATCCTAATCTCCTAAATACAAGTGAAAAAAATTCTAAATCACACATCAAAAGTAAACTATCATATACCAGATAATACTTACTTCAGACAGGCAGGCTAACGTGTTTATGTAGACCTATCCATGACCAGCACATTTGAGGGACCAAGATAACAAATAGTTAAAATTCAAGTACAAAAAACCAAAGTGGGCATCTATAACATTTATGTTTTCACAATGTTCAAATAAATTTTGAAACCCTTTCCCAATCACACTAATATTAAGTCGACATGCCATTTCTAAGTAATAAGTCAATAGCCTACATGAGATTATTTTTACACTAGTATGACAGTTGAGTTGAGTTGGAATAAAATATTGTTATCTACAGAGCACATTGCATTTTTTTACCTAAAATATAAATCTAGTTTTGTTTTGATGGCACTCGGCAGTGTAGTTTTCAGCTAAGTTTTGATTTACAGTTGAAGTTGCTTAAGGCTGGGAAATACATCTACAATTCTAAGACATATAGATGTAAAATACTATCATGTTAGCTTTTCAATATTAGTAAAAAAATTCATTTGGCTTAAACAAAACAACTTTGCTTTATAACCTGAATTAAAATAGCCCGAGAAAAATGTCAAACTGACAAGAAAGTTTTGATTTTGTGGTTATATTCTATTAAAAGTTCAATTTAGTATTGGAAAATAAGATTGCAATTTTTGCTGGGTTGCCAGTGATTGCTACATTTGTCAGCAATGTCATAATTGAAAAGTTTGCCAACAAATTAGTTGTGTCTGAAATAAAAGCTTTATTTGTTACAACTTTTAAATAACCAGATTATTGAATACTTTGACACCATTATAAACAAACGTCTCTAGATATAAATTATAACTCTGGTTGCCAACATATTTCAGAATAATTCAACTGATTGATGTCCCAGACGAATCCCGGTTAAACCAACGTCCCCAAAAACTCGTTGAAACGGACTGTTTACTGTGATATTCTACTTAAATTTAGGAGAGCATTGTATTCAGACACGTGATCACACTGGTCTCACATCTTTCCCACGAGAACAGTCGTTTCAGTACTGCCCACTTCCTGCTGATCTAGTCCGGTTAAACCAATGAGCTGATAAAAATTGTTCGGTTAAAGAGATGTCATTTCTGCCGAGGAGTCCGGTTAAACCGATGTCCGGATAAGAGGGAGTCTACTGTACTTGAGAAAGTCTTAAAACTTGCAACAATTTATTTTTGAGGTTATGTTAAGTTTACTTGGATCTATGACTAGTGATGCAAGACATCATGTTAAAGTTTTCTCAAGTTTTTTAATCAAATTTCCAAATTTGTCAAAGTTGATGTGAGCCACCAACAGATTGCGCTGATCTAAATTACTAATTTCTGTTGAATACATGATGTTTTTTTACCAAGTCAAACTGATGGAATGACTTATTGTGAGCTATACCGACTGTTATGACCCATCAACTATGTCAGCAACATAAAATAAGGTAGAACATTGAATTTTAGACACTAGAGCATTCTGTGACTGACTCACACAACTACAATCTTTTTTAGTAAAAAATTGACAACAGCTGGTCCATATGGATGAGATGTCTACTTCTGTATCCAATAGTCAATGCTTGGATGTTCTTAGAAACTGAACTGGCAATCTTTGCAGGATCATCCCACAATTCATAAAAATCTACACATCTATGTAATTTAGGCCATGTAATATTTCACTGACTGTGGAATGAGAAGAAAAAGAAATAACTGAAATTTCAAACAGACATTTTTTGTCCATAAGACTAAATTCTACTTGAAAGATAGACAAGGAAGAAATAAATAAATTTAATTCGGTATTGAAAATTGTCAATGCATTTAATTTCCAATGCAAACACATTTTACACATGTTATTAAAATTGTAGTATCAATTAAGAAAGACACTGACAAGAGAGTTAAACGTACAAGATAATTGCAAAAGGTGAATATTTTAGTATTTCCTAGCCAGTGGTACGATCGACTAAACTAAGTGTGTAATATGTTACAATATCGGGCCGTTCACGTAATTCTAGTTTGTACATGACAATCCTTGAAGTCCCTGAGAAGAGCTTTACGCACCCCGTTCATTCCTTACACATTCAAGCTACTTTTAAATGAGATCAAAAGAGGAGAATCGCCTTCCGTCCCAACTGCCACAAACTTAACCTCGACACATCCGTTACAGCGAAACAGAAACGTCGATACATCAAACTACTTTAAACATTAAATATAATTACAGTTAGAAAACTTCAAACATAACATATATATATATATTTATACCTATTATTTACACATGCGATATCGAGTAAGCCTCTGTGTTATCAACCGAGATCGGGCGCAAGGACGGAAGGGTGAACAAATTTAACTGTACATAATGTTTGACATGTTTACTTACACATTTACATTCTTTCAATCTCGCTTATTAAAACACATTCATTTCAAATATCACCCGTTTGAGCCAATTTTAAAAACAATTTAATATCCGAACCGCGGAAAAGAAAATTAAAAATAGAAATTAATAACAAAGTGGTCTTTGTACTAAGAATCGAGGGGCAATTGAGAAATACTAGAAAGTAAAAGAGGGCGAAAAAACTAGAGCTATAAAGCCAGTACACATCTAAGAGTATTGAGGCGAGAAGGCCGACGGCTCTGCTAGCCTTTGTAGAGGTCAGGCTCAAATCTGTGTCCAAAACCTGGCAACACATTGCACCAGACATCAGTAACCAACACAAAAGATAGGCTCAATGTGGTCATTTACATCTACAACACTGGAGACTGTTAGACTTAACTCATAAGAAAGCAACTTTCTTGTTTGACTTGGATTACAAAAAAATAAAATTAAACATTAGATCAAACAAAGGTAGCTTGTAATTGTATATTTGATTGAAGTAAAAACACAGATCTTGTGTGCAAAACAATAATTTAAAGTTTGTTGTACTTGAAAAAAATAATTGACAAGCATTTAAAAAAAGTTTTTGTTTATGATGTGTCAATGTCAAATCATTGCTATGAAATTTACAGTAAAAATGTGTTTCATTAAAGTGTTGAATCAGTGTCAGAACGTAATTGATTGATACGTTCATTTTTATTGTACACAACCCACAAGTTTCTTGTTTTTTATTACTTAACATTGTTTAGAAAAAATATTCTATAATCAGCAAACAATATTTTGAATGCCTAAAGTAGCCTAATACCAAAGACTCAAATCCATTTTTAAGGTTAATCTTAAAACAAGAATGTTGACTCATTCTTTGACTAATCAGGAAACAACCAAATACACTTGATTAAGAAATGGCTTATTCATCAAATAGATCAGCCAAGTATTTGCAAATGAAAACCTTGGTGATGATTCATGGATTTGAGTAATAATAATTACTCTGATTAGAACAGCTAAGGTTTAATTTATGTCTGCAAATTTCCAAAAGGTTAAATTAAATTTTAGGAGTTTAAACAATCAATCGATAGTAAGTTAGTGTGTGTATTTAGTTTTTATTTTTTACCTCAGTCCATCCAGACATTCTAGCTATCGACGTCACAAGAGGTATTGAGGTATTAGTGGATCCAAAGCCAAAACCAGGACCAGAAAACTGCCAAGAGTTGGATGAACGTAATTAGGATAATTAACTTAGGATTAGGCTGGGACCAAGAATTCTTTGCAAGCACGCTAACACAATGAACCAGAACTGAATATAAGATTGTAACAACACTTACTCAGAATACGAGAATAAGTTTTAATGAACAATTAAGAATCTGTGTTAGCATATGCGCACAGAAGCTGAAAGTAGTGTCAACTATTAAAGGCAAGGAAGAATTTGAGAATCTCATCAGATTGTGCGACAGAGAAATTATACACCATCACAGAGAACTGTAAAAATGCCTGTATAAAAATCTATTAAAAGTCAACGACCAACTACACTAAATCATGGATCAATAAAGTTGAAAATATCTGGTTTATAAGACCTACAAAGCCACTTCCTGCACTTTGGCGACACATAACGGGAAGCTACAGTAGCTTACCTAAAACCAGCTAGGAAGTTACACTACCTTAGATAAAAACAGCAAACTTGGAAACAACCTGTTTGAGATTAAACTTGTATCTAAGGTCTATATTTTTTATTTATTTTTTTTACTCTAACCAAAGTATGTCAAAACAAATAATAGAAGGAAATTCAGAACCTAAAAAGGTAACCCCTTTATTGAAATTCCCCTGACCCAAACTGTAAAATAGGTAGTAAAGAGAAATTAGCTTTAAGTTTACCCTGAGCAAAGGATTTAAAGATAACAAATAAAAATAAGTTATTAGAAACTAAACAAACATTTTAAGCTCAATAACCTTAAAAAACAATTTGAATGAAATGTTTAGAAATGAAAAAGATTGGTTACCTTTACACCAAGACTTAAATAACTCAGAAATTGAAACCATTAACACCAATAACCTAAACTACATAGAATATACATAAAATAATACTGTCAAGATTCCCCCCCCCCCCCCCTGGGACGCTAGGCACAAGCCAAAGGACGTTTGTCACATTACTTCAAGCTAGACCTAGGTTGCATTATCACTTCGTTAAAATCCATTGGTGATTTGGCAGGATTCGAACCCAGAACCTTAGGGACTAAAGTCCTGCGCTCTAACTACCAGACCAGCTCGCTCCCAAATGCTGTCAGGATTAAGAACAGTGCAATATGAAAACTTCAAGATAAGCTTAACAGCAAAAGTGACCCAAGGAAAGAACTGTCAATATTCTTGACAGAGCCTATCATTAGAAAAGACAAAGCCTCCATCTATCACAAAGGAAATATTGCGATTAAAACATGTACAAAAATGAGTTCTCCTTCCTCAAATGAAACAGTCATTCAAAAGAAACATTAATTGTAATGCCAAGTAAATACCAAACCAGACGGTTAAACACTGGGACAGTGTTAATAGTAAACAAGTTCTTTTAAGAACACATGTTCCAATCTGCCTAAGAGAAATAATTTATTATATTAAATATATAGATATAGTGACTTGATCATTACGATTGGAAGCAGCGATGATGTAACTTAAAACACATCCCAGAGATTTTGTCTTCCTAAACATAAGAAAGGATCAACCAGCTTAAGTAAATTTCTCGTTAAAAGTATCTCTATTTCCTCAACTCTTGTAACATTCAACGTTGATTCAAAAAATCTTCTTATTTATCAATTGCATTCTGCATAGGATTCATATTTAACCGAATAGACAGTTAATTATGCAACTATTTATTTCTGAAATTTTCTTTGACTATTCAAAAAAAAAATTCCTTTAGAAACACGTTGCAGCTAACTTGGTAAACAATTAGTTCAAACCTCACAGGGCACATTCAAATTTTGATCTACCAAAGAAAACTGAAAAAATCTAAGAAACCGACAAATCCTGGAAAAACTAAATAGAGAACTTTTGTTTATTTGACTGACTAATGACTAAATTTATAACGGAGATACTTTACCAATCATGTGCGCAGATGATACCCTTTCTCACTCAAGGACAGAAATGCCAAAGACCTTCATCTCAACTCAATGTCCGTCCAATTCACTAAAGCAATAAAATATTTCTTGTTAAAAGACCTTACTATCAACACTATTTAGGTGAATGATGAAAAAATGTACCCACTCTGAAATCGAGACCTACGTTTGTACAACACTTGAAATGGAGTTAAAGTTCTACGGTGTGGTGACACAAGACCTGGGATCACAAACCAACCTAACCTTACGATTGAGTGATGACTGGACTGCATGACGAACATGACTGCACTGCCAAACTGCACCATGAACTGAAGAAATGGTTGGCCAATACTATTCTTGGAATGCGTTCTATGACTTTTGATAAATTGTACCATCGTAGTATTTAAATACTCTTTTGTAATAATAAACTTTGATTCAATCTTGTTATGTTTGATGTTTGTGGAACAACAATATAGTGTATTGCTTGAAGGAATACTATCAGATTTAGGTGTGCGAAAGACCATAGATTCTTTCAAAATATGTAAATAGTTTGTACTAACTTTAAAAATGGCAAATACAAGCACAGGTGTCGTGTTTAAAACTTGTGTTTCTTGTTTATTTCTAATTAAAAGTTCTAAGAAAGCAAATAAGACATTATTCTGTAAATTACAATTTATTTAAAACTTTTAAATTAATTTGCCACAAAAGGAGCCATTTATTCTAGACAATGATTTCCTTTCATTTGGCAAAATGTTTTTAGTATCAACTAATATTCATAAAGGGCCATGACTGGCTTGACTAAATACTAATTAGTCAAGTTGACTAAAGGTTACTCATGCTGGTTACTCAAAAACGAGTTGTCAACTGATATAGATAATTAAAATAAGTAAATGTGCCAGGGGAAAACTACAAAAAAATGTGTGGTGCATGCCTAATTGGGCCTACCTGGTGTAGACATTCCATACATATATAAAATTCAACTGTAGCAAATTTTATGTTTAAATTGAACATGAGTCGCTCACAGAGTATAATACTGTCAATTGTTTTGGATATTTTAATTCATAAGTAAACTGCAAAACTTCAATATCACACTTCTTCCCCAATTTATCTCAAATGACTTAATATCAGTGAATAAAAAATTATCACTGTCTGTTGATAATGTGTGTATTGTTATGTTACTGGTTGAAACAAAATGTAACTCAAACCCAAACACATAACAACTGCATGCCATAAAAAACTGGTTAGTGACCAACACACAGCAAACGCAGGGTAAGTTGTTGTGAGGAAGCGATGATATGTGTCAAAACCAAACAATAAAACCAAAAGTAACGGAATGGCATGGCTAGCAAAAGCGGAAATCAAAAATTGCAATGCTTACCACTAGGTTTATTCAGTAAATGTTAGATTTATCATGAATGAAAGATTTCCTCATGCCTGATGTCAGTGTCGGAAAGCAGACGATACCTTCCAACTCTGTTTTCAGCTGCACACAACCGAAAAATATCAGATTGAGTGGCTAGCCTTAGGAGCCCTACATTAATAATTTGCCCTTGGTTGGATTTAGGCAAATGTTATATGGACAGCTTTGTTGAGGCAGATAAAACGTTGACGACCAAAGCAGAGCTGTTGTACAAAGCATAAAAAAACACTGTATCATCAACGAAACGCTCGGTGGTGGAGCTGTTAAACGACGCTGTGATAGGTACCTAGGGTGCCCGCGGTCTGCCAAACATCCGCTCGCGATCTGCAGATCAGTTGTTTGCTACAGTATTCAACATGGATGCAGTGCAAATCAGTTTTAACAGTTTCCACTATTTGTTGGAAACATACCAACTTCACCAGAAGGGTGGAGAGGCTTTAGGCATAGACAAAAAGAATTAAATATAGACTGTCAGACGTGTTGCAGGTACCATAGGTTCTGGCGCTGGGAGCGCCGTGTAGTTACGTAGCGATTGCGCCGCAACAATGGATCAACATTTCGGCCTGACAAAAAATTGCCACACGCGGGGGTCAACTTTTGCTCTCTCAGCATTGACTGCAGAGAGTTTGTATTTGAAGAGACTAAACAATGATCTTTAGTTTTAGATTTTTGTCTGTAAGAACAAATTTGTTTTAATTAGCTTTTTGAAGCTTTTGTTTGTTTTATTGACACTGTTATGCAGTTTGTAACTGTCAAGAATAAAGAGATTTGTAGTTTGAAATTGTTATAAATGTAACCTGACCTACCCCAAATTGACCTAACCTAAAGATTGCTGGGTAGCCTAGGGATTAGAAGTGGCCACCAGGAGGAATTGGACTGGACCCATCCGGGGCCATAAAACTATTCCTAATTCAAAAGCTGATCACTGCGCGGAGTTGGGCTATCCCCCAGTCAATTTTTAATCTGATACCTTAAATATATTTTGGGATGAAGAGTTACTAGTGAGCAGGTAGAGAGTTGGACCGCAGGCCACATCTGAGGTGGGGGTGAGGTAGCAGATCTGCCGCGTATTTACTGACAGTTTACTGATCCGGTCACATTGTTTACGCTGACTTTACAGGATCTAACGCAACAGATAAAACGCTTGTATAACTTGCACATAGGGTAGTTCATTCCCCAATAGACTTGACAACACGACAAAAACTCTGATGCAACAAAGCTGCCCCTACAACACGCGCCTTACCGGAACATTGCCACACAAAAGTAACTGCATAGAGTGAATGTTAGTTTTAAAAGTCCTTCTAACATAAATGAAATCACGTACATAAAGCCTACTTATGTTTATAGGTTATACTGTAATGCTTAAATAATACAGCTAGTGAGTAAATACCTAATGAATAATAAAACTAAGAATTCAAAACAAGCTCAACGTGCAACGTTCTACATTTTACGTCACAAGTTGTTTCTCATGAAATTATTAATACGAATAAATATAACTTTTAAACGAGTTATGAGTTTATGAATGAAGCAAATATTGTAGTTTGTATCTTAATTGAACACAGTATTCCTAAGGCAGAGTGTACACAATGATCTTAACTTTATAACTTTATTTTATTTAGTATGTTGAATCAGAGAAAGTGAATCAATATTTAAACGTTTTACCTCATTATAAATATGTTTAACACCATGTTACTAAGTAAAACTTGTAGAGGTCAATACAAATAACCATGAACATTTACAAGGTGCAACCAGAAAGTTCACAGATTGCAACGCTTGGAAAGGATTGATCCCATTACGCTTTAAATTACAAAATTAAAAATAGTTTTTGACATTCTCGAAAAACGTATTTGAAACCAGAATAATTAAGTCTGTTTATTGTGATGAAAATTCATTGATAAATATGATTTTTTGTGGGAAAAGAATAAAACATTAAATTTATATTTTAGTACAAAATTAAAGTTATATGACCAAGTAGCAAAAATGCTGTAGGCTAGATATAAAATCTCAATTACTTCAGAGAAATTATTTGCCACCATAAATAGATATATATCAACTCATAGTAACTATATTTATATAAAATCACAGATAACTTAATGGTATTTTCCTGTTAAAGGGAACATTCATTATTATCGATGATTTCTTTTCGATATATCGATATTTTTGTTTTCCATCCGATATATTGATAGCAACAAATTGAAATATATCAGCTGACAAGTACAATATAGGATAGAGTAAATAAATATTGTTCAGTATTAACAAACAATTTAAAAAAATATTATATTGAAATGAAACTGTTCTAAACCAACCTAACCAACCAAACTTGCTGTAACATTTCAAAATTCCGTTTGATAGCCTATTCCCCATATGCCTTTTCTGTTATCAAATGTAATTTTGAAACAGTAACTTAGCCTATACAGCAAGTTTGGTTAGTTAGGTTAGGTTAGTTTAGAATAGTTTCATGTCCAAATCCAATATATAGGCTATTATTTTTGCCTAAACAAGTTTTAGTTCTTAATTTGTGATTTAAATGAGTTTGAAGATATTAAAACAGAAGGAATACCAATCGTGAAGTAAAACAAAAATATAGATATATCAAAAATAAATCATCGATAGTAATGAATGTTCCCTTTAACAGGAAAGTACCAAATTAATTTTACAAATCTAACTACGAATGACGCACCAATGAATTTGAATTACATATCAAAGAAATCTAAAATGTTTACCGTACAGTTTCCTGCAATTAAATATACCTGATATGATAAAAATAGAATGATCAAAAAATTGAGACACGTTTTTTGGTTGATTTTAAATAAACTTTAAAATAGAACATCGAGTCAAAAAAGTAATGAACTCCCTTGGTATGTTGCATTAATAAATAATAAAAAAACTAAATAGCCTATGTACATAATACACAAGCCAGAGAGCGTGTTTAGTATTGATGCTAGCTACTAAATTCATAGATGCTGCTTCAAGCATAAAATATCAACTTACTGACTCGACAATGGCTCACCGTCAGTTATCCTAAACATACGACACCAAAAGGCTAAAATACCTCACTATATTATAAACTAGCTATTATTTCTGGTGATTTTTTTAAAAGGATGCCAATGTTAAGCAATTAGCAAGGGGTGAGCCAGTACGGTACAAAGGTGAACTGTAAACTGATAAAATGTTTACAGCAGTGACCAGGATCTGAACCCATGACATCGCTGCCTTGGGCCCGAAGTCTGTGACGCTACTGACTGAGCCACCGACTAACTTATTATTTGTGTTTTTATTTGTGAATTCAACCAAGAAATATGAATATTTTGCAATCACGTCAAAACTCTGGTTCTTGTAATGCTTAAACTTAAAAGTAAAGTAATAGACTTTTAAGCATTTAATGGTTGTTTAAAGTGGTTTGGTAAATGGTCAAGATTCTAACAGCACGAGAGATTGTTTCAATGATACCACCCTGATGACAAGGTAAATAAAACACCTTGTAAAAAGAACACTTGTTCTGCTATCAAATCAGTTCAGGGTTAAAAATATTTCTTTATTACTAATTTAATTGTGAAAGTATCAAATTTACTTTGTAATTTAAAATTTAAAAAGTGAAGATAAAAAGTAATAACCATAATTTGAACTGTGAAGGCCTAAATACATATTTTTGCAGTTTAAAACTAGAGATTGACCCATAACGGTACTATTAGCTGTACATCAATGTTTTAAACCTCTTATGGGTTATTTAAAATTATTACATTCAACATTTTATTTATGTTAAACGTCACGTTATTTAGCCTTAATGTAGTATTTCTTGGGTAAAATCTATAATGCAACAATCTACTTAAACGTTAAGTTTGAATGAGAAATCTTAAACACCCCCTATGATCCCTATGATTAGAGTAAATGTTGTTATTACAGTACCAGTATCAATAATTTATCTATCATATTCTGATACTCAAGAAACCAAACTGAAAAGAGTATTGTATTTAAATTGTTCATAGCCAGTTGATGGAAATAAGCAGGATATTAAAAATGAACATTAATTCCTGAATATTTTTAAGGTTGCAAAGTGCTCTGTAGAAACCTCTAATAAGATCTAATAAGTAGTAAAGTGGTGCAATTGCAAACGGAAAGGTTTTTTTGGAATTGTATTATGTCATTTCAACATAATTATTCATTACTACCAATAATAGATGTAGGTTTGCATTGGTTCTCAATATTTGTTGAGGAAGACGTCAAAGGTACATTGAACTCAGGCTGTCCGAGAACTTCCAATGACATGCCAAGAAAAAATTTATAAATGCACGAGTTGCATAAAAAGGTCACTAAGTGCATAAACGGAGTATATCAATAGCCAATTAAAAACTATCTTTAAAATTCATTATTGAATTTTTAAAGAAGGCCAATGAGTTTGTTGTAATGTAGGTACTAGACAATATAGCTATCAATAGACTGAAATCAACTACACTGCATCTATGATCTTTAAATTCAAAATGTCACTAAGCATTTACAGTCAGATTTTACCAAAACATGGAAAAATAATTATACTTTAAGAAGAACAGACTTACAGGCACAGATAAGTTTCGACAGCACAAATAAAAAATCAGCGAAATACTAAATAACTGATAAACAATGAAACAATAGCCCCTACAAGGCTTACATCAGTTAACGAAGCTCTAAGCTGTATACAGATTTGGTTTCTGCATTTGAAAAATTTAAATACAATTGTTGACTTGTTCTATTCTTATTTACTTGCGGCTTGCAACAGAGTCAGAAACTCTGCGGGTCTAGTTTTTGATTGAGAACATGGTAAACAAACTGCATTTTTGTTATGACTTTTAGTGGAGGGACATTTACTTAACACAGATTATTTCTCTCGTCTATTACAGACTGTGTTACCAACTTTAAAGTTGGATTGGTAAGTTAAACTGGGCTCTAAGCCTTGGTAGGCATTATCACTTTGCAAGTTATGATTTGTGATTGCAGAATCTGGACTAACATCCTTGTAGCCTTTGGGAGAACATAGTGAGCAAGACGTTACGGGTACGAGAGGATCTATGCAACTGTTAACCATTAGACTATTAGACATTTACTTTAGTGTACTAATTATTAGTTTTTTTAAGCTCTACAAAATGGGTTGGAAAATAAAATAAACGAGAGGTCGTCCAGTGGTCGAAACTCGACCAAAAATATGTAATGTACTCACTTCTCTATTTTCACCCCACACTGTAAATAAAACATGTGATTGGAGTTTCTTCCATTTGTTTTGATTTTCTGTTTATTAGGGATGGACGAGATTGGATTTTTAGTTTGAGACGAGACGAGACGAGATTTTTTATTTCTCATAAAATTTCGAGACGAGATCGAGACGGGATTTCCCTTCTCATATACAACGGGAAATGCACGTTCAAAATTTTTACCTGATTTTGTAACATTGTTAGATGACTGTTTAAATACAAAAATAATGATAATAGGCAAGAATATTTACAATCTTTTATTAAAAAACGTCAGCATAACATTTTTTTATTAATCACGCCTAACTTATTAAAAATGCCTACAATTAGGAAACATAGTGATATCAGTTAGGATAGAGTTCAACTTATCCTAAAATAAAATAAATCATAAAATAAAAGCAATATTAATTTTTATAAAATAGTTACTTGTTTTGACTTTTTATAGTAATAAAACATTCCTCACACTTAAAAATGACACTTAAAAGTGTTTTACACTTAACAAAACTTCTCAAATGTTATTAAAGTAATATTTACATTTAAAGAATTAATTAAATAAGAACGCCTTCTCAAAGGAAACGCAACTACAACACGCTCCTGTGTTGCGGGTATTGCATTGACTTTCTGCAGGCGTTTTTAATTTTTTTTTTTTTTTTTTTTTTATTCTCGTCTCGATAAAAATCTCGGCCAAAAAGAAATCTCGTCTCGTGTAACGAGATTTAAAATTTCCCGAAAATTTCCCGAAATTTCGAGACTTGACCATCCCTACTGTTTATATTTCGTTGTTATTTCGTCACCAGCATGGCAACGCATAAGATCCATGTTAATTTTTTCAAATTTTTAAACTCATTTTTTGCGCTTATCTTCGAGCCTATTTAAATTTATAAAGGGATTCTGCACACCTACAGGATAATAGCTTTCTTAACGGTATGCGTAGATTTACCCCACGATGCACACAAGCTGAGAAAAAAGGTTTTAAAGAAACATGCTTGCCTATTAATATATAGATAGATAACTAGAATTTACCACCCCAAAAAACTCCGTTCTTACAGTCTGATCATGCTGGTCCACAAACTCCACACATTTCATCATATTCATATGATTTTTACGCCAGTTATCGTGCATATGGACATACATGAATTTTAACGGATGATGTTTTTGGGGACATCAAGATGAAAAAGTAAATTGGTCTCAAGTCTAGGTTTTTTCTCTATGTTTGCTAAAATAAAACTAGAATTTCAAATCATATTAATTCAATCTTGAAGATTTTTTAGGATTTTTTGAGAGGATAGCAGGCTTACCTGAATGGGAAAGAGTCCAAACTGGCACAGGAAACACAAAACAAAACTTTACACTATATACACAAAACATTAGAATATTTCACTGTCACTGACAGCATTTTCAACTAAGGTTCAACTAAGTTCCTTAGTTGAAAATGCTGTCAGTGACAGTGAAATATTCTAATGTTTTGTGTATATAGTGTAAAGTTTTGTTTTGTGTTTCCTGTGCCAGTTTGGACTCTTTCCCATTCAGGTAAGCCTGCTATCCTCTCAAAAAATCCTAAAAAATCTAGGCCCTTGTGCTCTATGCTACACCCTCAATCTTGAAGATTGTTTGTCAAGGTTTTAAGAAGCTAAACGACTGGTTTCTTCCTGCTTTTCTGTACCAAGGTAAGTCTGTTCTCCCTTCAACCCTATACCACCAAACAAATTAACAACCCCTCAGAAATACCCAGAAGCCAAAGTTAAGATATAGACTCAATACTAACCGGACTCCCAGCCTTCCTCGTCCTCCTCAGGAGACGAACCTTCACTTGATTCTGCCTCGGAGCTTTCACTAGGCGTGTCCTGCGGCTGCTGGGGCTGCCAGGACGTTGCGTCAGTCTCCCCCGGCACACTAACCATGGACAGGCTTACCTGCCACACATGCACACCGACATTAGTACATCATCGTATATACAGTTTACACAGAAAGCGTCTACCACTGAGCCCAAAAAAAATATTCAGTGTTAAACACATTTATCTCACAACACCTTAGATTAAACATAAAACAAAAAGTGCCAATAATGTTGATTCACGAAATTTCTTCATTTAGGCCTTAATTGTTGGCCCAAACAATAATTCTCAGCTGTCAAACCAACTGGTATTCACCTTTTTCATTGTTATAAATTAATATACGGTGAATTCCATAATTATAAACCTAAGCTCAAATTTCAGGATTACAGAAATTTAGATAGCAAAATTGTACAAAAATTACCCCTAGATTTGCTTAAAGGAGCACTAGGTGTCAAGACCACTTTTAGTGATGCGCCTGAACCAAACAAATTAATTGAAATTCAGAATTTTATAAATTGCCATTTAAACTGGAAAAATATCTAGTAAGTGGAGTTAAACTGACATTGACAGTTACCAACTGTGACAGAAACTAGATTAAGTTATATTCTTTCTTATTATCCTGACCTGATTAATTCCTTACGGCAAAAGATTAAGGAGAGATATATCATGTAGCCTATGTGTGTATGTACGAGGCATGTTTTTTTAAGTAAATACCGTTTCTACAATTCTCCGTTCAAGCATTTTGGACATTTGCGCTGTGTATGTGCATCTATTGGCAAGCAATTACAGCATGCACTTCACAGTCGGCGGCAGTCTCAATTGGCGGCACCATGTTGAATGCTCGAAACCGGATGTATTATATTAGTAGCCCTAAACATGCAAGAAAATAATATATATATATATATGTATATATATATATTTGAACGAATGGTGTTTTTGGCCTCTGGGGACATCAAAATGATAAAGTAAATCGGGCCCGGGCCCAGGTCTTACGGTGCCACCTACGGTAATAGCTACTTCCCTATAGGGAAATTTGCTAAAATTAGTCATCAAGTAAAAAAGAAGTGTTCTGAAATCAAAGGGTGCATGGGGGGGGGCTCTAGGCTTTCTTTAATATTTGGAATTTTTAGTTCAGTTCCTAATTGCAAATCTTACCCTGAAGTCAGGACTGTATATTTTATTGGTCTTGTCCTTATGGGCATCATCGAGATCCCACTTTCCTATCCTGAGGATGAGTGGTCTCGTGTCTGCACTATCTAGACTCAGTGAACCAGCTCTGAAACAACCAATACATCATGCAAGCTACAGGTTACAAACCAAGGGCAAAACTAAAGTATAATGTGCAGCAATCAACACCTTGTACTCTACGTGTGTGCATTTCTCAATGTAGCGTAAACCAAACCTTCGACTTATTCACGACACCCAACCATGAGAAGCTAACCTGACCTGTAAGGAGTGCTACTTTGAGCTTCAAGTTTACCATAATTATATGTTGCAGGACTAGGTGTTATTGGTGGGCAAGCAGTTTAATGCTTTGTCTTCCCCCAGCCAAGAGAAACCACCGTATATTGAGTTTGACTACTGTCTCTGGCAGTTCCTGTGTGCACAGTTTGGGTGGGAGAAGCCCACCTGAAATATACGGTGAAAGAGGTTAAGTGGATGAAATCAGTGGATTTTTGTGATTTCCACCTCAAATTATGCATCTTTTGCACATCCTTGACTCTCAAAGTCCAACAAAAACTTTTATTCGTACAGATTAATATTTTTATGTCATCTCAACATAATCAATTCAAGTCTCATTCCTAGGATTCAGAATGTTTTGTATCGGTGGCTGAGGTTATAGTGCTCGCCTTAAAATCCAAAGATCATTGGTTCGATTCCAAGCGAGATCAATTCTGAACACACATGCCATTTATTCCACCATCAATGGTGCTATCAAATAACAAGTCTATGTTAGACACAAGACAAGACAAATACATGGACTGTTCCCTTAAATAAAAGTAAGAAAGCGCCAATACTGTAGTGTTAAAACAAAAAAAACTAGGTATCACTTATTATTTTATTAAATTTACAATTTTGCAATAAACTGACCTATGTTTTGTATCGGGGAGTGGTTGTTCTTCGTAACTCAGAGATCGACTGGATCGGTCGGGGATCAGATCAGAGTTGCCGTTCTCTGCCGGCTCAGGTACTAGGGAATGGTCCCGCACAAAGAATGTGTTGAACCAAAAATGGAACATCTTTTCCTGCAGGAAAAGACTGACGATAAACAAATAATATTTCAACAGTGGGTTATATACGAAACAAGATATAGGTTTCAGCCTTTATATAAGGTCTGTTAACTCCTATCGTTATATTAATAGGAAAATCTAAAAAACAAAAAACTGTAATGATTTGTTGTAGACTAGATAGCTAATTTTATATGTTTAAAGTTAATTCCACAGAAATAATTATCTAAGCACATTGAAAACCTCACATAACATAGAAAAATATTATTAGTAAGATTTTAACCTCATAAAAGATTGGACCTCGTAGTTGAAACGTCAAAATTATAATTATTTACAGTTATTACCACCAGTTCCAGTTTATTTCCAGTTACCTTTCTCATCATCATCTTGGGCTTGTAGAAGAACTCTAGTTTGACGTCCCCTTGCACCACGATGGCTTCACTCAGATTGATGACGATGCTCGAAGCTCCTCGCTTCACTTCTTGCAGCGGAGTCGAGTATTTGTTGGTCCCTTCTTCTTGCTTGTGCGTTATCACAAGCTGAATGTCTAACACAAAGAACACACACTTACATCTAACTCTATCTCAACTGGTTAGTAACAAGATCAGAAGTTATACATTTTGAATCTCAAATGGGAATCGATTTCTAGCATTAGAGAAATTTCTGTAGAAATGGATGGAGTTCAAGTTTTAAAAATAGATGCAACATTTCCAAGGCCCAGAAAAAAATGGGGCTAAGTAGGAAAAGTGGAATTCTCACTACATAAAAAAGCTGGGAAAAAATTATTATAGCCTACGTTTTTAAAATTAATAATCTTTACAGCTTCATCGTTCTGTTAATGCTTTGCTTTAAATCATTGCCACAGATGTTGCCCTTCAATTACTCAAGCTGGAGACATAACTTTTCAAACAATTGATACGAGAGATTAAATCTCATGTCAAGCTGTCGTCTGTTTTAGAATGAAAACGAACGTCGTAGAATTAAACCATTCCAGTTTTTTCCATGCAAAAATCAAAGGACAACCTATAGAAATGTTGTATCTAGATAAAATAGAACACCACTAAAAGAATAAGATATGTGTTGAATGTTTCGCCAACAAAAGAATAGGTGGCGTCCACATTTCAATTAATTGATAGGTCCTAATTTTCCAAGCTTCAGGTATAAAAAAAACATTTAACACTCCAGTAACAGCTATTAGAAATGAATAATAAAATGAAAGAGATTATACAGCTGTGGCAAAAATGATGCCACAAACCTGTTGTAACCTTTAAAATCTTGAAAGCTACATCAGCTAGCACTAGTAAATACTAAGGGAAAAACATCAATTTAAGCTGTGTCATTGCAGTTGAGTGGATCGACAGGTCACCAGGCTACCTCGTAAACCTCTCAAAGTGTAAGTTTCTACTCACTACCTTGGCCGCTACTGAAGAGTGCAGGTACAGGCTCCAGACAGACACTCCTGATGCTCAGCACCACCTGGTGGTAGTCTAGGTTTTCCTGTACAAGAGTAGCGTAGTAGCCCACATACCTCCGCTGGCTGGGAATGGTTACACCCTGTAAAAATGGAACATTTAGTCATCCCTCTAACATTAGTTTCTTTGCAAAATCCAGTTTATTCCATGATAGATCACAAAATTGTGCGTTTTTTCTAGTCATCTTGTGAATTGAAGAGTGTAATCTGATTCTGATTCATCTGGTGTCCCTAAGTCATAACAGTAAACAAGTAAAACAATGTTTATGAGTTATATTGGAGTTCTGGAATCATTATTGAATCAAAAGTCACATGAATAAACTATTTTTCAAAGTAAAAATCTAGATTTTCCATAATTGAATAAATTAATGGCTCATTGAGGAATTTAAGGTTTTCGCGGTTAAATCGGTACCCTGTAGTAGCATTGTTTAGTTTCCTCCAACCTCTCTGTAACCATAAACTTAAACTTACAATTGTTGACAGACCCCTCACCTTTCGATCTGTGGTGCGTTTCTGCCCGTAGAAGCTGAGGGCCTCGTTGGCTGAGTGGAACTGACGACTGTGCAGCATGTAGCAGCAGACCATCACTCCTGTCCGGCCCTTACCAGCCTTGCAATGAACGGCTGCCACGTTGCGTCTGTCTGCCGTCAACCAAGAGTGGACGTCGTCGCAGAATGGACGGATGTCTTGGATGCGTGGAGGGTTGTGGTCGTCAAAAGGGTAGTTAGCCACTCGCTGCTGAAACTTGTTCACGTCGTACGACCTTTCTGAACACCTGAAGGCAGTAAATTATTTTCAAAATCTTTAATTGTTTTTAAGATGTAATGTTTTGTTTCATGAAAAAGTGAAAAAGCTGAATAAATGTAAAAGCATTTGATATTTTTCAAAATATACGGCAAAAGAACGTTGGTGACCAAACCCTTCAGTAAAAATTTAGTGACGTAAAAGTTTTTAAGAAACAGAAAACGTTGACTTGAAACAATTTATGTGCTGTTCATTACGGAGCACATTTTGGTTGGACGAACATGAATGAAATAATTGACATTAATTGATTCATCCTACATATAAAAATAAGTACAATGAAATTATGATACTGTAATTTTAAGAGGATTATAAAAAGGTTTTGCATGTACATAGGTTTTGAGGTTAAAGATTTGATTTTATATGTTTTAAGAAGATCTATAATGGAGACATGCATGTAGGAAATGTGGGCAGTCTGAGGAGACCGCAGATCATCTACTTGACTGTACAGCTCTGAATGAAGTGAGGGAAAGCAGTCTTGGTACAATGATATGGGGCAGAAACCTTCCTCAGGAGGAGCTCATAGATAGGATGCTGCAGTTCATCAAGCAACTCATGTTTGACAGGCTCTGACGCACCAAGCGGGGGGAACAAAAAGCCCATCTGCGGCTAACGTGCATCAGGACAAGATCCGCCCTGACTAAATCAATCAATCAATCAAATCAATGTTTTAAGATTCAAAATTTCTTGTATGACCATCACTATTAGCTAGAAACTGAAATATAATTTTATAAGCGGTAGAAACAGTAAATTTGATGTAAGGTCAGTTGGTGAGACTCTGTAGTGTAGGGTAAATTTCTATTTTCATTATTTTTTAAGTTTTTCCTAAATTATTATTTACAGAGTTTTATTATATTAACGATTTGCAGATCCAGATAGATATTTTACTTCTTGTGCATGTACTGTTTGAAATTCAGTATTATTAAGGTACTCGCTCGTATATTCACATGGTTTTTTGGAAAATCTAAATAGTCTACTTACAAGTTATAAATCTTATAATGGTCTTTGTGTTTGGATTCCAGGAACTTGACAACATCATCAATATGATTGCGGTAAACTCCTTCCAACTTCTCTGCAGGAAAGCCCATCGCAATCAGGTTATCTTGGATATCTGAGCTTGTGGTTAAGGACAAATCATACATCCCATTATGAAACGTGACAGAATTAATCATTGTTATGCACATTTTCTAATGGTAAACATGTACTTAATTAAAAAGTTTATCTGTTATTTAATTTAAAGGCTACAGAATCTCTTTACGATGGAAGTCTTTTTCAATATTTACTGTGGTTGTTTTAAGGGAAATATGTTATGAATTAGGCCTATTTATTTTGGATTTTTCTGAGGAATTATTGATGCCAGAAGAGATTTCCTTCTCCAGAAACAAATGTACAGAGAATATGCAGAGCCCACCTTCTCACAAAGAGTTTGCTATTTGTCAGAGAGCTAAAGATTTTAACTTTACTCACAGTTTTTATTACAAAATTACAAGCAGTGGTTTATTGCAACACAACCAATCAATTTCACGCCAACAAACTCCAACTAACTGTGGCCAGTAAAAGCCACACGTTTAAAATTTTAAAAAAACCTAACAGGAAACATCATGACAGAAGCAAGTAGGCTTACTGATGAATTTAAGATTTAACAATAAGAATGAATTGCTATGTGAGCGGCCGAAAAGAATACTAGACTTATCTGATAGGTTTATAGAATTAGAATTTTTTTTAAAGCTAGAAAATTGTTAGAAATCAAGATTAGAGCAGAGTCATTAAAGAATCTAAGAGTAAATAGAAACAGAAAAGATTGAACCTAAAAATCAAATGTTTAAAAAAATTTCCTTTTCACTTTTACATATTGTGCTGATAACTATAGCTTGTTAGATTACCAATGAAGCCTATGAAATGAAAGGCTTGTTAACAGTGTAAATTGTTACAGTGCATAGGAAGTGTTTTTGTCACATTAGCCATTTGTATCCTATGGTTCATAAATATTTGAAACACTAACCTTTCTCTCCCACAAATTCAACCTTCCTAGCCTAACTCAAATGGTGTACTGAGAAATGGGTTTTTAAGGATATGTAGACACTTTCTAAGTTCATTCCTTACTTTAACAATCAACTTTTTCTAATCTTATTTTACTTCTAAGAACTATTATGAAATAAAAGGATACATGATAAATCCAGATTGAAGCCATCTTGCGTGTAGCGTTTCCGCCGCTTGCTCACCATGGTCTTTAAGGGATTAGTCATCTTCATATTAGATATGGTGTTGGCCATTTTTTTGTATCTTTGAAAGCACTGGCCACTTTCCCAAGCCAGTTCTTACCTTTCGAGATCTTCCACAAAAACATGGAGTGAGATATTCAGGATGTTATCACTCTTTCTTCCTGTAAAACAAAAAAAGATTAACATGGAGTGACAGTTTCTAGCAAAATATTTAGTTGGTCTCAGATCCCAAGGACCTATCAGATCACTATTAAAAATTCAAGCAGTGAGGCCTACTTTTCATAGAAGCCTACTTTTCATAGAAGCATACTTTTGGATATTAATTTAATGAAGCAGACAAAAAAATTGTGCAGATTACCACTCTATTGTAGGTGGGGATAGCCTGGGGGTAGGTGGTTAGAGTGGCTCTGCGGTTTTGTAGGGGTGGGGGTACGATGAAAATCAGTCTGCGCTCTCTCACCCTGTCCGAGCAACATCGCAGTTACACTCTTTTTCAAAAACATTCGGGATGCCAGTTCGATTATCTTAAAACTTAATTTTTTTTAAGTTTACAGTGGAGTGAAAATACAATTTTTTAGGCATGATTAAGCCATAGATTTGTATACAAGTAATGCATTATTTGAAGGCCTACTATTTGTTGACCACAAAAAATCTCTGGCTCATTAAAGAGTAATTTTTTGAAGTACAGTATTAAAAAGCCTATTCTAAATTTTAATTTAGAGAGAATTTATAAAATATGCTATCCTCCATTAATAAACATTTTCATATTCCTCTTAAAGAGGTAAGAAATTAGATATTTATTGAAAATACTAATTTTTGTTCGCGCTCGGCTCCCCACTTGCCACTACAGCCCCTCACACCCAGGCTTCACGCTTGCAGTACATTAAACTGGTAAATTAAAAAAAATTACCGGGCTATTTGTTGATCTGTAAAGAATGTTTAACACCACCACTTTGGATAGGGTTATAACTTTTTAAAGTTCTGGTTTGTGGTACCTATTGTTTTCTGAAAGTAAAGACCTACAATCCAAATTTTACTCTATAGTTCTACTTAAGAATATTTTTTGACTCTCGCATATCATCACCGTGATAAAAAAAAATTACAATCACTTTATAAGGAACAGAGTAGTCTTTAAAAATGTTGCTAGATAATCCAACCCCATCACTAATCGAGCTCGTTCCCCTCCCTCTTAAAGATAGGCTAGTATATCTATTGTGTGAAAAGAACATTTATTTATGTGCCCACTATATGATTATTAACTCCGGTACTCGCAAGTGGCAACAAATTGGGGAACGTACGGAACTGGCAATCTGTCCACAACTAAACAATGTTGGGGTCTTAAATCCATAAATGGTCACTTTGATTCACTAGGCCTAATTTAAATTGGCCTCTCGGTGGTCCAGCCCAATGAACCCTTTAGGGGAACGTTTAATGTTCTTCAAAGACCTGACATTCTGTACCTATAACTTAGTAATTTGTTGCCAATAATCAATTTCCACACGGTAAAATCTATCAGTGCCCAAGGAAATTTGCTTTTGTTTAATTAAAGGCTCGATCTTAACCACCGAGTCACTGAGTTTTAATTCTTGGATGAAAATATTCAAGTCTGAGTATAAAAATCTGTAGGCTAAATCAATAATGAAACTTAACTAAATCAACACAGAAGTTCACAGTCATATAAAATAAAACAATAATATAACAAATGATTTAGTAGAAATTGCATAAAATAATTAATTATTAATTCAGAATTCTTGAATTATGTTCCATTGTACACTGCATCTTTGTCATGTTGAGCTCAACTGTTTAAGTAGGTAGTTAAGGTTGAGTTTAGCTGGATCTAACCTATGATTGAATCTGTTTGCCGTGTGAAATAAATTAGCAAATTCCAAGATTTGACTTAACACTACGCTGTGACAAATTATATCTTTACTAGCCTATGTAAACTAAGCAGAAATGGAAGAGAAAGGAGACTAGGTTAAATTATACTAGACAAAATATTTTTCAATTGAAATGCCTTTACTTTTTTGTTAAAATTTTGTTGGGAAAATGTGTAAAAATTTGCAAGTATGACTAGAATATGTACACTACACAGTCTATATTCTTTAAAAAATTTTAATCTTAAGTGTTAGGCTATATTTTTTTTACTAAAAATTTATTTAATATCGTATAAATATTGAATTTACCTTACAACAATTTCAAAAACTATAGATCAATACTTTTCCTCAAGTTTTATTAGCTATTAGCTTATCAAAACCCACATACCTTACAATCAATACATCTACAGACAATTAAAGTACAGTACCTATGCCATTATATTGTTTTATTGCAAATTCAAAATTAAAGTCTGAATCATAATCTGCACAATGACGTAACAGTAAAATATACACAACCATTTTGTACTAAATTAAGTGTAGAAAGAAAAAAACATTTTATGCTTAGAGAAATCCTTATCACTAGTCATTTATAGAGAGAGTTTTTAAGTTGGATATAGGCTTAAATATGATCAACTTAAATAATTTTTCATTTTTATATGTTATAGGCTACATTTAGAATAATTGGCCTTGCCAATGGGTTACCGGTAAGGTTAAATGTTTTGAAATTTCTTGTCCTCTTTCGCCTAGATCTTACACTTCACGATTCAAAATAAAATCTTAGAGTGCCCCCCGGAATATGTTTTAAATTGTAGACATCAAATAGGAGCGTTTTTATCATTTGAGGCGTGTGTTTTTTTATTTTACGATTCTGAATCAACCACTCGACGGATTTTCATGATTTTTGTGTTGAAAGAAAGATAATTTTGAGAACTAGGGAATGTCGAAGCCATAATTTTAGTTTCGGGCCCCAGTTTTTTAGAAGTTAAGTTTTAATTTTGAAAAAGTCTAGCAGCCGACGCTAAGATTCTATTGGCATAAAATAATTTACTTAACATAACAGCTGTAAACATTCAGCTTTTGTGCCACAAATTCAGCATTTGGATAAAAATGTAAAGACATAGGGCTACTTAGGGATGACTTATTTATAGGCCTACTATGTGTAATGCTAATCATTGATACGTTCAATTCTTCTGTAAGAGAATGACAGATTAATTAAATATACATAATAAAATACTAGGATGTTCAAATTATTTTTTAAAGCAATCATTGTAATCTTCGATTTATTTTAGAGCAATATAATTTGTTTTAACTAACAGCTGGTTAAATATAAACTATGGAACTATGAGGTTATTTTATTTACTCTTATTTTCTCATTGATTATAGGAAATAAGTAAGATTAGTAGAGATAATACCACAGTTTTAACCAAAATTAATTAAACCACAGTACAAATCGAGGCTCTGTACACGAGTCTTAATAAAAAAGGATAAATGCAAATTATTTTACTGCTACACTTTTCAAGGAAAGATTAGAAAAATAACAAGGTTTACATGTTTTAATTATTCATGGTAGCTTTTTGTTTACAATTAATGTTTGCTTTAACTTTGTTTGGATTAGGCTCGGAAATATTGATGTCATAAAAAGAAGATCAAGAATAATCAGGAATCACGATTTTAAATTACCACCACAACCTCAGCCAGGTTTTATACAAAGATAAACAGATAAATGACATAGATTGAACACAACGTCAACATTGACCTAGGATACTGCAATTAGACAAACCATCCTTTTATGAAATCGTGTTCAGTTTTGGTTACGTTTGGGGGCGCCTATATCAGCGCCCTCCAAACGTGAACATATCACTTTTATTTCAGTGAATATATTGTAGGCCTAGTTTAAATTAACTAATATGGGAAATTACGATGTACATTTATTCAATGAGGGTGGGTAATTATCAAGGATAACGGTATGGATAATAAACATTGACAATAATTACATCATTAGCTTTACTAGCGTGTTTACTTTATATTCCTGCTACATGTGACCAGTTCTTTTTTTTCAAATGAATGTTATTTGAACCAAACAGCTGTTTCAAAACAAACTGTTTATTGTTTTTACTTTTCTTTGTTTAAGCTTATTTAGTTAGCAATTAATGCAGTGAAATTGATATAAAGGATAGGTGTGACGATTAGTTTTGATGTTAGGACACCAAAGCTAAATTATGTGTACTTTGAATTTTATTGGATATTATCGTTTTATTTTAGGTTGTTTCTATTCAGACCTACTGGAAATTATGTATAATAGTTGTATTGTGGTGATAATAATTATGGAAGAGGCAGGTATGCTATGGAAGGTGGTATCGTTGACTAGGTCTATACACTTCTCAATTGACTATTACTCTCTCTACTGTAGGCTACTTATAATCAGTGTGCGTCTGTGCGAATCGGCTGCAAATCTCACTTCAACGCTTTTCACATCGTAAAAATTGCAGAACTGCTGTTTTATTGTAAAATTATCGGATTTAAAATGCATATCGGATAGGCCTATGATGGAAGAAAAACATATTTGGTTACACAACATTTGTTTACAAGATGATTTTTCACATTAAAACTGCAAGAAACTTGGTCTTTATATGTGTAAACTAGCCGATCTGAATTGTACATGGTTTTAACTGACTACTGAATTCCCGTACGTAGGACGGGCTAACACCTCGTATACAATAAAAACAAAACAGACTCCCTTTGCTCACACTTGCCGTAAGCCAAGGTTTTTTCTCAAACCAAGGAGTGCAAAATGTTCTAATTATCTTTGGACCATCTTCCTGAGAAAATGTAAAGCCTTTAGGTTGGTGAGATCCTAGCTTTTTAATTGCTAATTTTTCCTCAAGAGCGAGGTTAGAGAAGTTTCATGTTAAAAGATTATCTACTTCATTCAATTTCAAAGACCAAAATTAAACTAAATTAAGTTAGGCCTACCGTGTGTGAATCATCACAACTGTGAGTTAATAATATTAAAATATAACTAGGCTAATATTTTGCTGAAAATATAAATAATTCTATTATTTAAGTAGACTACTTCAAGTATTTTAAACATAGTAGGTCTAGTCTTTGTGGTATGTCTACTCTAAGTCTACTCTACTCGTCTACTAAACATGTTATTGAAATAGTAAATAATTCAAAACTAATAGGCATTGGCCTGCTCAAAACTAACTTATCTATCTACAAACATACAATTAGTCTGTAAATTTACAATTTAGATCATGGCAAGAACTGCATTTTTTTATTAATAACTCACAATTCTGAAGATTGCAGTACTTTCTAAGTAGGCCTAACCCCATTTCAACCACGAACACCCACTTCACAATAACATCACCACACCATCAACACACCTTTAAATTTAAATGATCACTAAAACCGACAAAATCGTAGTATGGCTACATAGGTACTCTAATAAATCTGTAGGTAATAATATTACGAAACTTACTAAAAGTGTTAACTTATTATTAGTTCATAAAATATATAATGCAACTACAACCCGTATGCCGGTTGGTGAACTACATACACGTAACACGGGTAGCGGGAATCGTGATGTAAACAAAGCTACACTAGCGCTCAGCACTCCCAGCGATAATAGCCCCCACCACATCAGCGAATTTCGAGTAGTGGATGGAGAGCTCACTTGCCACTCGGTTACCGCCAGTACAGTGCTAGGGCATCTCACCAGCCATGTTATACCTGACGAGTTGTGTTATGTTTTATATTTATATGCTTGATTATGATCACAGCTTGTCTCTTAATGTCCAAAGATTATAAAAATATAGGCTATATTTGTTGACAAAAAGCTGTATCTTTTAATTTCCCCGCCAAATCTAAAAAAAAAAACATAATTAAATCTCAAATTCCCCCCCAAAATTGAATTGTGTAGCGCGGTTCGCGCTATCAAACCATTCTGTGGATACCCCTGAAATCTACTTAAAGAAACAAGGAAGAAGATGGCATTTCCTTCTCCTGGAACAGTCTACTATCGGTAGGCCTATCAGATAACTTAAGTTAGGCCTATCTAATTACTTATTTTAATGCCATATATACCAATCTATTAAGTTTTGTTTATTTTTTATAGTTTATACTATTTTTTATTTAATATGCTTTGTACCTGATTCTTAGACCCTTTGTAATAAGTTTTTAAAGCTCATTAACTTAAAAACTTAAATTTAGTCAAACCCAATTTAGTTTACTTAAAAAGCCTATTTGGTTCCTGTAGGCTATTTATTTATTCGTATTGCATGTTTAACTTAAGTTAACTTAATCTCAAAGAATCCTAGGCCTAATTTGTATTTATACTAAGTTACTTAAGTTAGAATACCTAAGTTTAATACGTTATCTTTATATGTAGGCCTATTTCTTGTAGATTGGTTCTTGACCGTTGGAAGGTCCTAATAATGAATTTAAAAATTACTTAATAAAAATGCCTGAAAATAAGCTAAGCAGTTAGCTGATGTCAATATATCAAGTCATATTAATTTTAATTAATCCTAGTAACTTAACTTATTTAATCGTACTTCAAGTTAAGTCAGAGGTGGCCCTCGTTATGTTTAAAGAGTCTAAGCTAATTTAAGTTATATATGAACACTAAACCTAGCTTTTAATATTTATAGAGATAGGCTACCGTAAGTTAGGCTTAACGTACCGGTACGGTATGACTTAAGCTCATAAACTTAAAACCAAGTTAGGCCTAGAGTAAGTTAGCCTTGGATGTAACTTTAACCTAGAAAAAAAAACCATTTAAAAATTGTAGACCAAAGAGAGATGATTGATGATAAGTTATGAGTTCCTAGTTCAGAACCCTCGATTCAAATATAAGTTACAAATATACAAACAATGTTTTTATCAATTATCAATTATTTAAGGTGGGGACGCCACTACGTGTGTACCAACCCAAATATGAATGAAGGATAAAGTTTATGATGAGTGGCGCGATCTTGTAGTCTTGTTAGTGACTAAGGCCGGCATATTCCTTAGACACAGCTGTTAATTAATAGCCCAAACAGCTAATGGCAACTAAGGGACCTACAGTTTAAATAGTGTTCCCTGTGGTTGGTTGTAATTTAGCCTTAAACTTAAGTAGCATCTGAATTAGGTACCAAAGGCCATGGTTAAATTTTCATTTTAATGGGTAACCGAAAACTAAAAAACTGTATAACTTAGGCCTAATGCAACCAAGTTAGACTAGGAATATAACCACACAACCATAGCCTAAGCCTTTTAAACTGTAAAATGGTAAAAATAAATTAGGTCTCAGAAAGTTCCTAAACATTAAGCAATATATGCCTAGGCCTATTATCAAGGCTTTTCGGTAAAATCAAGGTAGACCTAGTTCAATGTCATCTTCTTTAAGTTAGACCCTAGCTTAACTTAAGTAACTTTTCTTAAGAGTTTAAATCAATAGGTAGACCCAAAACAAGCTAATTACATCACATGACTCTTTTTCTATCCTTTGAGGACTTAAAACTACATGTTCTTCACCTTATTTTCAAGGTTCTGGTAGCCTTAACCTGTTAGAAATTAGATGTAGGGCTAAGGAATCTAAGCTAGGCCTATCTATGGTTGATTTGGAAAACTGTATCTGGTCCGTCTTGAGCATATTTTTAAAAGAAGTCACATAGCACAACTTACTCAGTTTTAAAGACTTAAACAGCGTATTTAATGAAACTTTGGATAGATTTGTATGGAATTTAAAACACAATGAATAGAAACAATACTAGGCTAGTCACAGTACAATAAAGGTTTACTCTTTTTGTCTCTGATCGTTTTATATTTTGCGTTAAGTAATCAACAATATTCTAAAGAGCAAATAAACTTACCTGCCAAGACACATTAGGAGTCACTAGACCACAAATTTAATACTTGAGACCACAATTTAAGGACAATAACCATTTTCTTTGTCCTCCTTCAGCTAGCTTCTGTCTGCCATATTGAATTGAATGCCTGTATTGCCTCTGCCTGCCTGCCTTAGTGCCAGTGCCTACCAAAATCAAACCAACGACGACCAAAGAAAAATATCAATCTCACTACCGATGGTGTTTGAAGTATAACAATAGTATGTATAAAGGTACATGCATGTCCGAATGCCAATTATAAATAGAATAACGTGTCTATTAAGTACATTAAAAATTAGAAGTGCAATATATAGCCATTTTAACGCATATTATCTATATATTAATTTGAAAGTGTTTTTCTTCAGAAATCAGAAATCAGAAACTTTTTATTGCCGTAATTTGCAAGGTACATGCATATGACAAAGTCAACAACAAATGAGGTTCAAGTTCAACCAAGAAAATAAAACTAGATCCGGTAAAACATGAATAGACAAAACATTTGTCTGGGCTTTGTCACAGAATATGAAATATGGTGAATTCTCTTGGGGCTCTGCCCCCGTGGCCTTTAAATTCCCATCCCATGTTAATCTTATGGAGGAAAACGGGGTTTTTGTCAAAGCTAATTTGAAAGAACGGTTGGGCGTAGAAACTTGGTAGGGGTCTCTAAAGAAAGGTCTTGGTCTGTAGATGAGCATGAGCCATCAAAAGAGGAAAGAGGTAAATACCCTTGGGGCTCTCTAGCCTTTAAAGTTGCCTCTTCAGATTTGTTTACATTAACCATTCTATATATATTAATTTGAAACTGTTTGTCTTTGTCACAGCTATTTTGAGAGAACGGCTGGGCGTAGAAACTCGGTAGGGGTGTCTAAATAAAGGTCTTGGGCTGTAGATGAGCCATCAAAAGAGAAATATGGTGAATTACCTTGGGGCTCAGCCCCCGTGGCCTTTAAATTCCCATCCCATGTTATTCTTATGGAGGAAAACGGGGTTTTTGTCTAAGCTAATTTGAAAGAACGGCTGGGCGTAGAAACTTGGTAGGGGTCTCTAAAGAAAGGTCTTGGTCTGTAGATGAGCCATCAAAAGAGGAAAGACGTAAATACCCTCGGGGCTCTGCCCCAGAAGCCTTTAAAGTTGCCTCTTCAGATTTGTTTACATTACGACCATATGCATAATTCTACACTACTTTCTAATGCAACAGCTGTTAATATTTAAATTATGATTATTGAATTTGTCAAAATGAAGTACAGTATTTGCAATGGATTTTTCTGATTTTAAAATTGATTTTCTTCTGCATCGTGTCATGTGTCATGTTTTGCAATATAATGTTCTATTACCAAATCAGTGGAAAATCCTAATATCACAGTGTAATTTTTGAAATTATATTTCTTATGGAGTTAACTTATATCTATTGTATTGGTTGGTTTCTGCCGTTTTTACCACTTCTTGGAGATTGTAGGTGATATTCTTTAATTGGTATATTGCATCCGTAGACGAAACTTGGGTTGGTGTAATTATTACAATGGAAAAGAGCGAGAAATCCTGGACAATTTGATATAGGCTAAAAATAATACACTGAATTAACACTGTGCTGCATTTCTTGAGCAATCATTTGAAATAACCGATTTGCAAACAATGGAAACATAGAAAAAGTCATAGAACACAACCAAGTAGAAGAAATAGAAATAATGTTTTTTTACACTAAAAACACAAGATCAGTTTTTTGAAAAAAGATAAGATATTTACAAAAGATTTTGATTATATCTAACTGTTGTGTAGATTGTGAGTATTTCCATAATCTTTGAGTCGCCTGTAAGCTTTGCAATTGCTCGAATTCGAGCAACAGGTATACTAGTTAGTATGTTATTCTGGAAGTAAAATTCAATATAGATGAGTGAAAATTTAAAAACGTACGTTTTCATGTCCCTGGCCTTTTACTTCGTAGATACTGGATTTGTAGTTTATTATTATGTGTTTTAATATTTTTTGGGACGGGGGCAACATGTTACACACATTTATTTAGTTTTAAATAGGTTCTAGGTATTTTTTTCGTATTTTTAAAGTCTCGAAATTCACGACCATGACGGTACAACACCAACATACACAACATTCCACATTCCACATTTCAACATTCTAGGGTACATTTTCCAACTTTCACGCTGTTTTTAGACTAATTATTCATGCCGAAATATATAAAGTCATATTTTTATGTTATCAATGGTTATTAAACTTACAAAAAAAGAGTATATTATAATTTTATTGTCATTGCAGACTGACTACCATGACAAAATAAGTCTGTCCCTCGATTTGGCGTCACGACCATTTGGGAAAATTTTTCAACTTTGGAGCACGACAGTGGCAAGCCTGGCGTCGATGGAGTCAGTTGGTTTTAGAGACTAGTTCGGGGTGTACGTCAGGATTGTAGTGCCGGTCGTTTTGAGTTGAAAGGAGGAATTACAAGATTAATAAAGGAAAGATTGTGTTTTTTGTAATTTTGGTGTGTCCATGACCGTACGTAGTCATTCGATGAAGTAGACATGGTGTTAATTTTTGTTTATAAGATATTTCAATTGCTAGATCAACCTAGAAGTCCACTTTGTATCCTCGAACATGAGGTGCAGGGCTACCGCCAGAACAGAGCCAAATAACACGTAATTTCACGACCAAAGTTTCACGACCATCGCGGTTTTTTTCACGACCAATCCAGCCTTATGGATTATAGTGAGTTTGGTCGTGACAATAACTTTAATATAATTGTAAATTGAACAGTTTAGTTCAATTGAAACACATAGTTTTATTATAACTAACAGTATAATTGAAGGATTGTTTGGAAAGAAAAAATATCGTCATATTTCAATGTTTTATACACAAAAGAAGCACACCTCTATACAAACATAACGATTTTTCGGGTCTCAGGTAAGTTTTTTCGGAGTTATACAAACTTAAAAAGATTTTATTGGCTTTTTTCTATTTTTGAGTTTTTTAAAAGTTGAAAATAATAAAAGTTTTGAAAAAAGGGGAAAAAAATTTGCAAAGTGCTTTTCCTGAAAACGTACGTTTTTAAATTTTCACTCAGATACGTACCAAGTTTTACACTTATAAAAGTTTTTTTTAGGTAATTTCTCAAATATGACTAGACTAGGTACTGGGTGAGTTCAGGGTTCCGCTGTTTATAACTTTACATGCATGAGCCTTTTTTCTTGGTTGTAGTAAATTTCTATTTTTGGTCCAAACCTTAAACAGTTCATTGATAGATAGATGGTATGTCTATTTCAGTATCCTATAGTCAACGGTTAGGGGAGCGAGCTGGCATAGTGGTTAGAGCGCGGGTCCACGAGGTCCCGGGTTCGATCCCCGCCAAGTCACCAATGGATTTTATCTAAGTGATAATGCCGCAACCCCTAGGTCTAGCATGATTTATGTGAAAACACAATCCCAGGCTCGTGCCTAGCGTCCTAGGACAAAACAAAACAGTCAACGGTTAAAACACACTTGAGTTGAGTTCCTCGACAGAGACTAGACAATATACCTTTAGATTATATATGTTCGCCATTTCAAAGTTAAGTATTAAAGTATACCAAATTCAATTACTTATGTTGGTGTCGTCTAATTAATTGATTTGACATATCAAGAACCTTAACGGCTATATTACTTTCTCCCCCTATACTATAGTATATGGAGAAAGTATTGTTTTCGTCAAAATTTTCGAGTTTGAGTGGATATATTCGTTTTGTGTTACCAAGAAATACAGGTTAGGTAAAAATCTAACATTGCATACAAACACAACATAATTTGTTTGCTAACCCCAAGTGAGGTGTGAGTAAAAATTTAAAAACGTACGTTTCCAAGAAAAACACTTCATAACAGTTTTTTTTCCTTTTTTTCAAAACTTTTATTATTTACTAGAGGTTGTCCAGTGGCCGAAAACTCGACCAAAATATTTAATGCACAGACCTTTCTATTTTCACCCCATCCTGTAAATAAAACATGTGACTTGAATATCTTCCATTTTGTTTTGATATTCTGTTTGAATGTACTTTGTTGTTATTTCATCACCAGCATAGCAATCCATAAGCCCTAGGTAAATTTTTTTCAAATTTCAAATCTATTTTTGTGCTTATTTTTGATCCTATTTTCATTTATAAAGAGATTCTACACATCTACAGGAATATATCTTTCTAACAGTATACGAAGATTTTCCCTGCGATGCACACGGGCTGAGAAAAAAGGTTTAAAAGAAGCATGCTTGCCTATTAATATATAGATTTTATTTAATTGACATTTGAAGTTTCATAAACTGTCCATGGTAACGCAATATCTTTGGTAGTTTTTTATTAATAGAGCATCTGAAAAAACATGAAATTCTGTCACGACCCTAATGGACGTGAAAATGAATATTAAAATAGTTAACATGTTTTTATAAATATGTTTTGCTGTTAATTTATATAGTTTTAGGGCCATTTTGCAATAAACAGCTTACTAAGCTTTTAGTATTTGGTCTTTCTAAAAAGAAATCTATAAACTCAACAACCTGAAAAAAGCTTAAAAAAATCTCTTTAAATTTGTATACTCCGAAAAATCGCTCCAAATATATATAAAACACACCCGTTTTTAAAGAGGCGCCCTTCTTGTGTGTATAAAACATTGAAATTTGATGATATACCGGTATCAATTTTTGAATTTTTTATGATCCAAATCATGAACAAGTCAGGGACAAGTGTTTCCTGAAGAAAAACATATGTTAATTGTCAATGTGTCAATTAGTCAATGTGTAATAAGCAAACAGAGAGGCCTTTTTACACAAAGATGGTGTACTGGGATATCCATCTTGACAAATAAATAATTTGATTTGTAGTTTGTTCAATTATTATATTACAATAAGTTATTTTATATTATGAACATTTTAGGGATGTCCCTACATGCCACTATAATGAGAGGAAGAACATATGTTAATTGTAAACAGTCAATAAGTTTGCTAATTTAACAGTTTGCTACAAACATTTAATGACGGTTGAAATGAAATCTTTACTATTTGATTTGGGTTGGCGTAAATATTACAATGGAAAAAAGCGAGAGAGCCTGGATAATTTTATATACTAAAAAGATAACTGAATTAACACT